CCCCCCTTATGTATTATACATGGAGATCATATCCCCCCTTTATCTCCTCTTCTCAGTAGAGAATAAATTCAGTTCCTCTAATCTTTCCTCATAGCTGATCTCCTCCATGCCTCGTATCAGTTTCGTTGCCCTTCTCTGTACTTTCTCCAGTTCCCCAATGTTCTTTTTGTGAATTGTTACATTGACGCACCACCTTAGACTTAGTCTGTTAGAACAGTATGGTCACTTGCAGACTTGGTACTATCCACAGGCAGCTTAACTCTTCAAAAAGGCACAGAAGTTGAATCCAAGACAATTTTAAGCCAGCTAACTGAAGGGCAGAGGACGTTTTTCCAGTTCATTAATGTGTAAGAAGACAATGGAGGAGATTTAATAAAAATGGTGCACACAGAATCTGGTGCAGATGTGCATAGTAACCAATCAGCTTCTAACTTCAACTTGTTCAGTTAAAGTGGTTGTAAATCTCGGACATGAAATATGAACAAAGCATATACCTCCATAGTTTGCACTTGTCTCAATCCAGAGCACTAAGTGTCATTTCTGTCCACTGCTTTGTTCTTCTGTTTTCAGCATGAGTCACTTCTGGTTTTTCCTGACAACAAGAGAAAAATGGTGACAGAGGAGGGACCTCTAGCAGATTGACAGCCTCAGCTCTGTTCCTGTGAGCTGTGTGAAAGGGGATGTGTCTCTTCCCTCCAATCAGCTCTCAGAACTCTCCTCACTGAGCTCTGCAGAGTGCAATTTCAGCTCTCCGCCCCCTTTTTTTCTGAACTCTGAAAAGCGTTATAAATGCAACACTTTGAACGGATGTAGAGAAGACTGCAGATAAACAGATGGAGGAGAGCCATGAGGTGATTAATTTGATATTCTGATACTTCAATCAGTAGATTGAGTCCATCAAGATGGCGGAAATAGAAACATCCAAAAGGATTCATGATGAGTTTTCAGTCTTATTGATCTGCAGTTTAGTTTATTTGGGGGGGGGGGAGGGGCTCGATATCAGGAGACTGTGATGGCCTCTCCAGAATCTTCACCTTTTTCTGCTGTAACCGATGGAGGGTCAACCTTGCCTTGTGCTTAGGGTCAATGTCATGCCCGAAAGTGCAAGAGCGCCCCATTCACAGCTTTCCTGCTGAAGAAGTGAAATTGTCTGACGGTATTTTTCTGACAACATGTTGCATTCATCTTCCCATTAATCTTTCACAAGACACCCCATGCCTTTAGAGCTCACACACCCCAAACATCAGTAAGCCACCACCATGCTTCACAGTGGAGATGGAACTCTTGTCGCTATAGACCTTGTTGACCCCTCTCCAAACAGAGGTCATATGGTTGTGACCATAAAGAACTATTTTGATCTTGTCACTCCAGGTTAGTGTGCCAGAAGCTGAGGGATGTCAAGGTGTTATCGGGCATATTGTAACCAGGCTTTTTTTGTTGCATTGGCACAGTAAAAGCTTCATTATGGCAACTCGACCATGCAGCTCATTTTTATTCAAGTATGGTCATATTGTGCTCCTCACATTCACGTCGTTTTTTTCCAGAGCAGCCTATGTTTCGCTTGAGGTTTCCTGTGTGGGTTTTTTCTTTGTATCCCAAACAATTCTTCTGGCCGTTGTGACTGCAATCTTTCTTGGTCTACCTGACCTTGGCTTGATATCAAGAGATCCCCAAATTTTCCACTTCTTAATAAGTGATTGAACAGTACTGACTGGTATATTCAAGGCTTTGGATATCTTTTTATATCCTTTTCCATTTTTATAAAGTTCCATTGCCTTGCTACGCAGGACTTTTGACAGTTCTTTTCCACTTCCCATGGCTCAGTATCTAGCCTGCTCAGTGAATCCACGTGAGAGCCAACAAACTCACTGATTATAAACTGACACTAATTGCAATTTAAAAAGCCACAGATGTGGGAAATTAACCTTTTAATTGCTATTTTATCCTGTGTGTGTCACCTTGTGTGTCTGTACCAAGGCCAAACATTCCAGGAGAGGGAGACTTCTGATCCGGGGGCGGAGACTTCTGATCCGGGGCGGAGACTTCTGATCCGGGGGCGGAGACTTCTGATCTGGGGGCGGAGACTTCTGATCCGGGGGCGGAGACTTCTGATCCGGGGGCGGGGGCATACTTCTGATTCGGGCCATTCGGGTGATTTCTGTTATCATTAGGATTTAAAAAGGAGCCAAACAACTATTGGATAATAAATGTCTTCATATGATCACTGTCCTGAAAAAAAAAGGCAGTTTTTGACATAATCAGTCATATTGTCATTAATAATGCCAAAATGTCATCATTTCTGCCAGGGGATGCAAACTTTTGAGCGCAACTGTATATTTAATTTTATATATATATATATATATATATACATATATATATATATATTTTTAATTATTATTGTTTTATTTTTTATTTTTTTCAATTAAAATTACGTAGCAAATGTGTCATCATATCATTGGCATTGAGAGCCAAATACAAAACAATCTGGGCCAGGCAAAGTTCTATTGCTTTGCTGTCAGTCAACAGTTTAAACACGCTTACAGGAGGAAAGAGCGATGATTCCACAGTGTGCTTATTTCCCTATAGTGACCAATAACAAGCTAAGTGCTGGTTGTCAACCTTGTGTAGCTTACAGTAGAACTGAAGACAAAACTCTTTTTTTTTCTCATCTTGGAGTGGGGAGTGGGGGGGTGTTATACGCTCACCAGCCACTTTATTAGGCCCACCTTGCTAGTACCGGATTGGACCCCCTTTTGTCTTCAGAACTGCCTTCATTCTTCGTGGCATAGATTCAACAAGGTGTTAATGTTGCCTTTCTCTCATCTGGAACCAGTCTGCCCATTCTCCTCTGACATCAACAAGGCATTTTCCTCTACACAACGGCCGCTTGCTGGATATTTTCTCTTTTTCGGACCATTCTCTGTAAACCTTAGAGGTGGTTGTGTGAAAATCCCGGTACATCAGCAGTTTTTGAGACACTGAGACCAGCCCGTCTGGCATCAACAACCATGCCACGTTCAAAGTCACTTAAACACACTTTTTTCCCCATTCTGATGCTCCGTTTGAACTTCAGCAAGCCGTCTTCAACACGCCTAGATGCCGAAATGCATTGAGTTGCTGCCCTGTGATTGGCTGATTAGCAATTTGTGTTACCAAGCACTTGAACAGGTGTACCTAATAAAGTGGCCGGTGAGTGTTGTCATATTTTTTTTGTGTGTCCCATTGGGGAGATTTCCCTTCACTTCTGTCCCATAGCCAAAACAGGAAATGAAAGAAAATCTGCCTAAAGGGAGAAAATCCCTGTTTGTAACCAGAACTAGTGTCCCTAATGGAAGATTTCCCTTCCATTCCTGTTCTAGTGACAACCAAAAATTTGGGATTTTCTCTTTTGGTGAAAAGAATAACCAGGACTAATGCTCCAACTTCTTCTTTTCCAAAGTGTTCCTCCTATTCCTGGTTGACTCCTATCCATTCAGACCAGACCTCAGTGTTCCACGTTCTGTAAGGAGCAGGGGCGGACTGACAACTCATGGGGCCCCCGGGCAATAGGGGATCATGAGGCCCCTGTGTCCTTGCCCAAACTCAAAAAAGCCTATGAAAAAAGGTACCAGGGGCATCTCATGGAGCCCCCTACTGACCCCGGGCCCTCAGGCAGTGCCCGGGTTTCCAAATGGTCAGTCTGCCCCTAGGTGTGAACACCCCTGTGATCCGAATCTGCACAACGCATTGCGTTTTGCAAACTCATTCCAAATGGTCAGCCCGCCGCTGGTAAGGAGCACATCTAAGGATTACTGTAGCCCAGCCTTTCTCAACCAGGGTGCCCAGGCACCCTGGGGTGCCTTGAGGTTTCTTCAGGGGTGCCTTGAGGTTTCTTCAAGGGTGCCTTGGCAAAATGTCTAAAAATTTCCCAAAACTTGTATACAGGCCAGCAGGTGGAACAAGCCAGCCTTTTAGTTACACAAAGCCACAGGTTTTCACAGTGCACCGTTACAACCTTCTAGCCCAGGGGTATCAAACTGGTGGTGAGGCAGCAATGGCAGAGTTCCCCTTTAATATGGACAACTGTGGTAGCACCCAGCTAGTGCAGAGTTCCCCTTTAATATGTAAGGTTTTAGCTTGCAGAGTTGAGCTAAACTCTGACTTCTACCCCCATATTTCCTATAACAACGGCCTGTCTTAATTTAGCAGGTGACAGTCTGAGCAGAAACCGCGATAAGGTCATATCCTGCATACTGCTTTTCACAGTTACAAGAAATGTTAACAGGAAAATATATGCTTTGTGACGTAACCGCTAGTATATACGCTTGTAAGAAGGGTATACAATGCACTTAGCAGATGAGAGAACGAGCCATCTGTTGAGTCAAAACAGCGCTGTTTTTAATAAACCAGTTGTTTTTCCTCGAAGTCCATGTCCGGAGTTTTTCCTGATTTTCCAATTGTTGCTACAACAGCGGCCCTCCAGCTGGTGTGAAACTACAAGTCCCATCATGCCTCTACCTTTGGGAGTCATGCTGGTAACTGTCAATCTTGCAATGCCCCATGGGACTTGTAGTTTGGCAACAGATGGAGGGCCGCCAGTTTGACACCTGTGTTCTGGCCGCTGCTGTCCTGACAGCCAATAACATCATCAGCTGATAAGGAGGATGTCAGCTGCATGCACAGCTTCCTAGTTTGACCCTCCCCCGCCCTCTCCATCAGTGCTGGGGTCACATTAGCTCAGTGATGGAGAAAAACTGGGGGAGAAGAGAAACATGGGAATACTACTCAGTACCAGTGTGCAGAAGTGTATTTGCTTTGGAAGAATTCACCTATAATGTTGGGTGTCCTACATGTGTGGATGTTGCTGCATTATATAAAAACTATTAGAATAGTTTTTCACATTTTAGAATGGGGTGCCCTTTTAAAATTGTGGACTGTCTTGAGGCACCCTATTTTAGGGGTGCCTCAAGACTGTCCATAATTTTAAAGGGTGCCTTGACTGAAAAAAGGTTGAGAAACACTGCTGTAGACCAGAGTTTCAGGCGACTGACCAGGGGCGGACTGACCATTTGGAAACTCGGGCACTGCTCGAGGGCCCGGGGTCAGTAAGAGGCCCCATGAGATGCCCCTGGTACCTTTTTCATAGGCTTTTTTGAGTTTGGGCAAGGACACAGGGGCCCCATGATTCCCTATTGTCCGGGGGCCCCATGAGTTGTCAGTCTGCCCCTGCGACTGACCTATACGATTCCACTGTGATGGCGCATGTAGGGAGGTGCTAATAGTATTAATGTCAGTACTGTGTATTTGGGAGTCATTTCTGGTATCGTGGTTAAGTTGCTGTGGTGTGTCCACCATTTGGCCTGTTAGGATTCCCATAGTTGACATATTAAGCAACAGGGTTGGGTCTCTCTTTCAGGAGCTGGTCGTGTGAAGGAGAGGGACCATACACGGAGAGAGGTAATACTTATGGAAGTAGGTCAACCCTTGGCAGGACCCTGAGGTTAGCAAGTCATTTTACCCCACGAGGGTGGGTGAAAAGAATAAACAATGAGAGGAAATCCCCCTAAAGGGAGAAAATCCCCGTTTATCACCAGAACTAGTGTCCCCATTGGAAGACTTCCCTTCCATTCCTGTTCTGACGACAACCAAAAATTTGGGATTTTCTTTCTCTTTTGGTGAAAAGAATAACCAGGACTAATGCTCCAACTTCTTCTCTTTCAAAGTGTTCCTCCTATTCCTGGTTGGACTCCTATTCATTTAGACCAGACCACAACACTCAGTGTTCCACGTTCTGTAAGGAGAACATCTAAAGATTACTGTAGACCAGAGTTTCAGGCGACTGACCTATATGATTCCACTGTGAGGGTGCGTGTAGGGAGGTGCTAAGAGTATTAAAGTCAATACTGTGTAATTGGGAGCCATTGCTGGTATCGTGGTTAAGTTGCTGTGGTGTGTCTACCATTTGGCCTGTTAAGCTTCCCATAGTTGAGGTATACATGGAGAGATGTAATACTTATGGAAGTGGGTCAACCCTTGGCAGGACCCTGAAGTGGGACAGTTAGCAAGCCATTTTACCCCACAAGGGCTGGTGAAAAGAATAATCGATGAGAGGAAATCCTCTTAAAGGGAGAAAATCCCCATTTATCCCCAGAACTAGTGTCCCCATTTGAAGATTTCCCTTAAGCTTCCCATAGCTTCCCATAGTTGAGGTATTAAGCATCAGGGTTGGGTCTCTCTTTCAGGAGATGGTCATGTGAAGGAGAGGGACCATACACAGAGAGATGTAATACTTATGGAAGTAGGTCAACCCTTGGTAGGAACCTGAAGTGGGACAGTTAGCGAGCCATTTACCCCACGAGGGCTGGTGAAAAGAATAACCGATGAGAGGAAATCCTCTTAAAGGGAGAAAATCTGCATTTATCCCCAGAACTACTGTCCCCATTTGAAGATTTCCCTTAAGCTTCCCATAGTTGAGGTATTAAGCATTAGGGTTGGGTCTCTCTTTCAGGAGATGGCCATGTGAAGGAGAGGGACCATACATGGAAAGATGTAATACTTATGGAAGTAGGTCAACCCTTGGCAGGACCCTGAAGTTAGCAAGCCATTTTACCCCACAAGGATTAGTGAAGAGAATAAACAATGAGAGGAAATCCCCCTAAAGGGAGTAAATTTTCATTTACCACCAGAACTAGCGTCCCCATTGGGAGATTTCCCTTCCATTCCTGTTCTGACGACAACCAAAAATTTGGGATTTTCTTTCTCTTTTGGTGAAAAGAATAACCAGGACTAATGCTCCAACTTCTTCTCTTCCAATGTGCTCCTCCTATTCCTGGTTGGACTCCTATTCATTTAGATCAGACCACAACACTCAGTGTTCCACGTTCTGTAAGGAGAACATCTAAAGATTACTGTAGACCAGAGTTTCAGGCGACTGACCTATATGATTCCACTGTGAAGGTGCATGTAGGGAGGTGCTAATGGTGCCATTTTACCCCATATGAGGTGGTGAAAAGAATAACCAATGAGGGGAAATCCCCCTAAAGGGAGTAAATTTCCATTTATCACCAGAACTAGCGTCCCCATTGGAAGATTTCCCTTCCATTCCTGTTCTTGTGACAACCCAAAATGTGGGATTTTTTCTCTCTCTTTTGGTGAAAAAAATAACCAGGACTAATGCTCCAACTTCTCCTCTTCCAAAGTGTTCCTTCTATTCCTGGTTGTACTCCTATCTAATTAGACCAGTGGGATAGAGAGGGTGAATTTTCCTAATTGGGGCACAGAAAGAAATAAAGATCTGGCAGGGGTTCAAATCCGTCTCCACCTTTTTCAAAACGGAATCTCAGGCTCACTTCCTGTTGTGTCTATGGGACAGGAAATGAAGGGGAATCTCCCCAATGGGACACAGATGGCAAAAAAAAACCTGAGAGGGGTTATAACCCTCCTTTGCTCTATTCAAAATGAAAAAAAAAAGTTTTGCCTATAGTTCCGCTTTCGTTTTTTGGTTGTATCTCTGCAGGGTGTTCACAAGCCATTACTGCTTCCTGTTACAATTTCCGCTGTCATCCAGGCAGGGGTGTATTTAGGTTTTGTGCTGCCCTAGGCAACACAAAAATCGCCTTCCACTACCATCCCCAGCGAGAGAGAGAAAGACACTCACTTTCACAGCTCCAGACATCCCCTGAAATGAGAGATGGGCTCTGCATACACCGTCAAGCAGCCCGCAGCCTCTCTCAGATCCCACTTGGTCCCCATGCTGTGTGTGCCCCTTCATCCGAGGAGTAGTACTGCCCCCCTGAAAAATGCCGCCCTAGGCAAATGCCTTGTTTGCCTTGTGGTAAATACAGCCCTGCATCCAGGTGACACATCCAGTACAGACTCCAATATTCTGATGTTATGTTTTCCCCATTTACAGAATAATAACCAAACTGCATTCCTCCCTTCAGCACAAACATCTCTGATTCTCTGTCTGCGGGAGTCTGTTCTCTGCAGGAATAATAGGAACCGAGCCAATCTCCTGATTAAGTGGATTGTTTGTAGCTGGGGGCCCCGCTATCACCCAGGATCGGGCCCTCAGCGTGAACATCAGATGATGAAATGGTTTTATTTGGATGGATTTCGCACTCAAGGTACGGTAAGCCCCGAGTACGCAGCGGCCGTTCCCCAAATGTGCGTTGTACTCAGCCCGCAGCGCGGCGTGAATTGCGTTTGAGATGTTTAACAAAGTAACAGACTCCGTCTGACAAAGAAAATCCTGTTCAGGGGATAATAATACCGAGGATGAACTTCAGACTCATCCAGCGGCAGGCAATCTGCATCTGCGAAATGCCTCCTGTAATGATCCCTCTTGTATTTTATGCCTTGTGATGCTGAAGTGGAAGTTCTGGAATACGAGGATTATGTGTTTCTTCTCTTCTCCATCCACACGTCTATCACGTCTCAGCAGATGGATTTTACAGGAACGTCATATTTTATAACAACAGATTAATGTAATCCAGAACAATGACACGCTGAGATTAAGGGGTCCAGAACAATGACACACTGACACTTGGGGGTCCCAGAACAATGACACACTGACACTTGGGGGGGGTCCCAGAACAATGACACACTGACACTTGGGGGTCCCAGAACAATGACACACTGACACTTGGGGGTCCCAGAACAATGACACACTGACACTTGGGGGTCCCAGAACAATGACGCACTGGCACTTGGGGATCCAGAACAATGACACACTGGCACTTGGGGATCCAGAACAATGGCACACTGACACTTGGGGGTCCCAGAACAATGACGCACTGGCACTTGGGGATCCAGAACAATGACACACTGACACTTGGGGGTCCAGAACAATGACACACTTTGGGGATCCAGGACAATGACACACTGACACTTGGGGGGGTCCAGGACAATGACACACTGATACTTGAGGATCCAGAACAATGAGACACTGGCACTTGAGGATCCAGAACAATGACACACTGACACTTGGGGGTCCAGAATAATGACACACTGACACTTGAGGATCCAGAACAATGACACACACTGGCACTTGAGGATCCAGAACAATGACACACTGACACTTGGGGGTCCAGAATAATGACACCCTGACACTTGAGGATCCAGAACAATGACACACTGGCACTTGAGGATCCAGAACAATGACACACTGACACTTGGGGGTCCAGAACAATGACACCCTGACACTTGAGGATCCAGAACAATGACACACTGTCACTTGGGGGTCCCAGAACAATGACACACTGTCACTTGGGGGTCCCAGAACAATGACACACTGTCACTTGGGGGTCCAGAACAATTACACACTGACACTAAGGGAACCAGGAGAATGGCACACTGACACTTGGGGGTCCAGAACAATGACACACTGACACTTGGGGGTCCCAGAACAATGACACACTGGCACTTGAGGATCCAGAACAATGACACACTGACACTTGGGGGTCCAGAATAATGACACCCTGACACTTGGGGGTCCAGGACAATGACATACTGATACTTGGAGATCCAGAACAATTACACACTGACACTAAGGGAACCAGGAGAATGGCACACTGACACTTGGGGGTCCAGAACAATGACACACTGACACTTGGGGGTCCCAGAACAATGACACACTGGCACTTGAGGATCCAGAACAATGACACACTGACACTTGGGGGTCCAGAATAATGACACCCTGACACTTGGGGGTCCCAGAACAATGACACACTGGCACTTGAGGATCCAGAACAATGACACCCTGACACTTGAGGATCCAGAACAATGACACACTGGCACTTGGGGATCCAGGACAATGACACACTGTCACTTGGTGGTCCCAGAACAATGACACACTGTCACTTGGGGGTCCCAGAACAATGACACACTGTCACTTGGGGGTCCCAGAACAATGACACACTGGCACTTGGGGATCCAGGACAATGACACACTGACACTTGGGGGTCCAGGACAATGACACACTGATACTTGGAGATCCAGAACAATTACACACTGACACTAAGGGAACCAGGAGAATGGCACACTGACACTTGGGGGTCCAGAACAATGACACACTGACACTTGGGGGTCCCAGAACAATGACACACTGGCACTTGGGGATCCAGGACAATGACACACTGACACTTGGGGGTCCAGAACAATCACACACTGGCACTTGGGGATTTAGGACAATGACACACTGTCACTTGTGGGTCCCAGAACAATGACACACTGTCACTTGGGGGTCCCAGAACAATGATACA